CGGCTTTTGCCTTTCAGTTTTTACCTTTGATTCGAATTCTTTTTCTTCTCTAAGGTTTTTCTTTACTTTTTTTATTGTTTTAGCTCTTTTAGCAGGTAGTCTATTCGTTGCACCAACATTTTGAATTTTTGTTGTACAGTGTAACCCGGATACAAGAGACCCGGATATAAGAGAAACCCGGATATAAGAGAGATTTTCTCTGGTCCCAAATTAGAGCCTGTGTTAATGTATATAAAATAGACCAAACCCGGATATAAGAGAAACCCGGATATAAGAGAAACCCGGATATAAGAGACTTCTTCTCCGGTTCCGACAACTCTCTTATATCCGGGTTACACTGTATATATAAAGCATATCAAAAGTTTTAGCCCCCATCTGATAATTTTTTAAATTGGCCTAAAAAGCAGTTATTTTGTACTTTACATAAGTGAACATTATTACAAATAGTTAAAAAAAAGTAAGACATGGTTTTTCTATTAGAAATTTCATTACGGCAAATAGGAAGAAAAAAAACATTTATGAGTAAATTTTGCTCTCATCAAAATATCCCCCCTTAGCCTTTATTACTGCAGCACCAATTCCTGGGATGCGTTGCAAAAGTTTCTCAAAATATAAGTTTGATAATTGATTCCATTCTTTTTAAAAATGATTCCAAGGGCACTTTTTCATTCTTTTTCTCTGTTCTGCCAAGTTCATCCCATGCTAATTCTGGGGTTGGCTTCAAACTTTTGAACTGTAGTATATATATATATATATATATATATATATATATATATATATATATATATATATATATATATATATATTTGGTTGGATAGATATGAGTTTGTGACCCTGGGTTTCACGCTTTAGCCATCGCCATCTGATATTGAGCGCTTTCTAATAAGTACCGCGCATATAATATATAAATAATTATGCATATATATATTTATTTATATTTATATACACTTTATATATATATATATATATATATATATATATATATATATATATATATATATATATATATTTTGTGTGTGTGTATATATGTATATAAGAGGAGAGAGAAGGTATAAACGCAAACGTTGGTTATAATTAAGCATAGACAGAATTGAATTCAAATCAACTCGCATTATCGGATCATCTGCTTAATAAATATGCATAATTTTACAACGAAACATGCTTGAATGAAGATATGCTTTCTATATATATATATATATATATATATATATATAATCGAGTTTCTATTTTTGAGATTGTCAGATAAGACGTGTAGCCATCTTGGCACCATTTGTCGTAAGAATCACTGAAAATTCCTTCGAGTTATGCAGTTAGAAAGAGAAGAAGTTAAAATCCTTTTGTGTCACCCCTACTATGTCTTCCCAACTGAGCAATGGTGAGAGGAAAAAGATCATTCAGGCCTTCAGTAATGGTAGGAACATTCATACTCTGGCTTCCCTCTTCAAAGTCCATTCAAGAACCATCAACGCTGAATAAGTTTAAAAAAGAGGGAACAGTAGAGAAGAAAACTGGATCAGGAGGTCACAACAGGAACAGGGATCATCATTTTAACATTTTCATACATCCTTATATTGTTATAAAATTCTCAGAGAATTCCAGTAAGATATCTTTAATCATTTCTAAGATACAAGAGTTCAAATCTTAATCTAATAATTGGACATTTTTGCTGTTACACCAATATATATATATATATATATATATATATATATATATATATATATATATATATATATATATATACCAACTTGCAACTGGTAGGGATGATATTAATCAAAGAGAAATCAATATAAATTTAAATTACAGAGCATTATCATAATAAATAAATAAAAAAAAACATAAAAAAAAATCAAGATAAAGATCCATTTCCGTTACAATTTATTTCGTGAATATTTTATATTCAGCACTTCAGACCGAAAGTTCTTAATATGATTTATTAAGAACTTTCGGATTGAATTTCACGAAATAAATTAGAACCGAAAATGAATCTTTAACGTTTATTCTTGATTTATCTCTCTTACACACACATACACACACACACACACACACACACACACACATATATATATATATATATATATATATATATATATATATATATATATATATATATATGTGTGTGTGTGTAATAAGTTGTATGGATATGAGTTTGTGACGTTGGGTTTCACGCTCTTGTGATCATCGGGCAAACTGGTTTATTTTTAAAAAAAATTGGATCTATTTATGTTTGTTTCCGCCTGTTGGTTGGCGGGAGCGGGAATCTACTTTCGTACTTGCTTGGGGTCGCATTATCCTACGCACAGACACAGGTTCACAAACTTATGTCCATACAACTTCTTATTTTAGCTCTATCACTGATATTGAGCGCTATCCACTAAGTACCACGCATATAAAATATAATATATATATATATATATAAACACACACAAGCAAATATATAATATATATATATATATATATATATATATATATATATATATTGCAAGACTCTTTGGTAAAGCGAATCGAGTTCTCTCAGTCACTGTGTGTTTATCTAAAAATAAATACTCATAAATTCACCCCATCCCTGCCGTGCGCCAGCAGTTTACGGTAGTGGGAGATTCTTCGACTGAGACCAATTCAGTCGGGTTTCAATCTAGCTAGAGGCAAACGGACGTCTAGTGACACTGATGAGCTGTGATACAATGAAACAGTCTGTCTGTGAATGACAATATATATATATATATATATATATATATATAGATAAATAGATATATATCAAATGTAAAAGAACGAAGAGTAATATTTTAACGTTTAAAACAGGGCTCAGTACAAAAGTAGAGCAATAAAATTTTTAACATCGAAACAGGATGTACAATTATGTCACAGTGACATAACACACATCACACACACACACACACACACACACACACACATATATATATATATATATATATATATATATATATATATATATATATATTCGCTTGTGTGTTGGGTGTTTTGGGGGCAACAACCTTTCCGCTATACAGGTCTACTTAAAGATCAATGATATTTCTTAACGTTTTTTTTTATTTCTTTTATCTACATTTCGGATCAATCTGTTGGTTTCAGGTACATATTGAAACATAATCATTCTAATGTCTGAGTGCATTTGTCTATCGTTAACCGTTATGAAAGTCTTGTGATTTTTGTGCTAGACCAACGGTTTCAAGTTACGCGTACATTTCCCTGTGTTCACCTTGTTGTTCATATATTCGTGTGATTCTTTACGGCTTTTGATGGCCTCGATATTTTCTAAATATCGCTTAGCAGGTCACAATACAAAAATCAGGAACATCAGGTCATAGGAAAATTATGTTACGCCACATTTCCCAGTTGGCTTCCGCAACATAATTCTTGCATTTAAAAATGGTGTTTCATTACAATATACTAAACAGTCCTTTACAAACATCCAAAAATGAATTTGCAATGTTATCGGCCCTGAATTGGCATGAATCATTTCCCCGCTGCCGTAACGCAGACCCCCACCTACCCCTGTGCGTTTTTATACATATCTTATGGCATTTGTTTTAATGAGGTTTCCTTTCTGGCACATTGACTTCATGAATTTAAGCGCAGAACTAGATTGGCAACTAGGTCTCCCCAATTTACCGTTGAAATAGATAAGTATAACGGTAAATGTTATTTTAAAAGTTCTTCTCGCCTGTGGGGCTCTCTTCCAGCATTTTGCTTTCCTGTCAAATATGATCCTCAAAAATATAAATGTGATGTCAGCCGTCATCTGTCGACTTGAAATCCGGTTCCTTTTATTACTTTTATTCTCTGCAGCAATGTTTTCTCAGTTTCATGCATTCTCAGTAATCGCTTGCGTCTCAATAGCTTCATTGCTTTGTTTGATGTTAAATGATTAAAAAAAGGAAAATAAAGGAAAAAGAAACAAAGAGATTTCAGGGGCAAGAAAGGAAAATTAAACATTTTGAAAAAAAATAATGCCGTTTGAATTCATAGGGTGTTATGTGACCTTACCCATAATAACATAATGGACTATTCCATACGTAATAAATACTGCGCCTCTAGAGGAAGCAGGGAGTTCAGCCTGAAGTCGAGCGACCGGCTGATCGGCTGATCGGTTGAACTCTTTGCCTTCGGGCGGGAAGGAACCCGAACGAGGCTACGCTGAAGGGCGGAGTCTCTTTTCGGGGAGGTAAACCGACCCTGAACCCGTTTATACTGGTTCAAAGGGCATATTTTTGGCTAAGCCCACGGGCTCGGAAATCCCACGGGCTCGGAGATCCCACGTTAAACCGGCCTTGGTGGGGGGGGACTAAATACTGTTCAGTCTGAAGCCTGGGAGTCAGTCTGAAGTCTGGAGTGAGGTCCGTCAGAAGTCTGTCAGGTGGCTGTCAGTCAGAGCGAGCGAGTCAGTCAGTCGAGTCAGAGGCAGTCCGAAACAGAGTCGCGTTCAAACAATTACTACAAGACATTGAAATAAGGATACTGGTCGAGACTACATTGTTCTCCCTACAAAACCTGATTGTTCATACTAACACTTCTACTTCTCTGTATATATTCCTGCTTGCAATATATCTGTGTTATTCCATATCCGTGTTCGAGTTCTTTTTTATTGCTTCTACCTTGGACTATCACCCGGGGTACAAGGAACCGGGCCATAATATTGAGTAAATTCGATAATTCTCCAATATAAATTTATATTAGTTTACACAACCAATTAAAAAAAAGAAGTTAAACTTTGTAAAATGGTGAAAAATAAACGAGGAGATAAAGCAGCTATTTGTGTTGGTCTGGGAAATCCATTTAGATTGGCCTTTGATCGCTTTTGATTCACTGTTGAAATAACAAAGACAAAAGTACAACATGTTTTATTATCTTTGCGGTGGAAGATCCAGGAAAATCACAGTTTTATGAATTGATTTGATCTGTTATTCGATTTGAATGAAAGGAACTGCCCTTGCTTTGTGTGTATGTCGCTAAATGTCTCTGTGAGCGTACCACGTCTAGGCATGGAGCAAAGTCCAATAATTCAGAAAAAGAAATCACAAGGTTTGGAGACTTCCCGGTTTCCCTATCTTGCTCTCGCTTTCCCTTTGTCTCTAGTTATTTATTTCCATCTCTTTCACTTTCTCTCTTGGTCTCTCTCACACTCTTATTTTTTCTTGGTGTGTATATAGCTCTCATTTTTTTTCTCTTTTTTTCTCACATTGACTATCTCAGTTTTAAACTCTATCTCTCTCCTTCAACATTCTTTCTACTCTTCCTCCCCTCTCTCTCTTTCGTTTTATGTCTTATTCTCTTTCCTTGTCTCTCTCTCTCTCTCTCTCTCTCTCTCTCTCTCTCTCTCTCTCAGTCTCTGACATTGAATCTCTTTCACTGTTTTTGTTTCCACTGGCCTCTCTCTCTCTCTTACTTACTCCTTCTCTGTCCTTATCACTCTCTCTCTCTCTCTCCCTCTAGTTCTCTGTCGCTGTATATGTATTCCTTTCTCTTTCGTTCTCTTTTCCTGCCTCTCTCCTCTTTTTGCTCTCCTTCTCTACCCGTATCTCTCTTCTTTACTCTCTCTTGTTCTCAGTTCCTGATCCTTTCCCTCCCTTAATCTCTAATATGGATGATCTCAATTTTTCCTCTAGTCCTCTCGTTCAGCATCCTTTCTTCTCTCCTGTTTCTTCTCAAGTTCCATTTCGTTGGCCCATCTTGCCTTTCTTTCTCTTATTCTCTATCCCAGTTACTCCTCTCTCTCTCTCTCTCTCTCTCTCTCTCTCTCTCTCTCATTCCCAGTCTCTGATATTGTCTCTATTTCACTGTTTTTTTTTTTTTTTGCCTCCACTGGCTTCTCATACTCTCTCATTCTCGTAATATGTCCTTTTCTCTCGGTCGGTCTCACTTTATTCTCTCTCATTCTCTTAAGTTTGCAGTTGTCTTTTTCGAATATTTTGTTCACTATTCATTGGTTCAACACTAAAGGGATTTCCACCTTTTGTCGTCATTTAATTTTACACCTTGCATCAGTGATTAATGAAGGTTCAATGGTTGGGTCAGAGAACAAAAGCATGCCAAAATCGTTTGGTAAAAGTTTGTTACTGGTTCATAAAATTACTTTATCCGGATCTTCGACGTGGTGTAAGAGTTAGCAAATGTGTCTCGCTATCTCAGTTACGATTGAGTAGTGAGTTAGATACTTGCTGGGTGCCCCACACTTTCGGCCTTGTGCCACATCTAAGTTACGCTTAGGAAAAAAAAAGGTCACTTTGACGTGGTGTAATGATCAGCAAGCTTGTCTCGCTAGATCAATTACGACTGAGTAATGAGTTCGGTCACCACGAGGTGCTCCACACAGTGGGCCTTGTGTCATATCAAAGCTACGCTTAGAAAGCCGCCATAGATTGACTTATATGATGTAGTAAAAAATACCAAAGAGAGGTAACAAATAACGCTGATTTATGCTATTATTAAGAGCAAACAAAAGCAAACTTGACCATTGAAAAACTAAATATATAATTTAATTTTATGGGTTAGCATTGTAAGTTAAAAATTAGATGATTTTTGTTCATAATTATAAAGTGAAAAAATGCATTACTTGCTTTTTATTGGTTCGGTGTTACATAAATACTAGCTGTTTCCGTTTGAATCCTTAAGCATTTATTTAATCCGATGATAGATAAATAATGGTCATTTGTATTAGCGTCTATAATCATTTGTTTCTGGGATAGGCAAATATTGGTCACGTTTATTTGAGCCTGTTACGGAGGCCCGGTGGAGTAATGGATAGGAGTGAGAAGTCGGTAGAGTTGAGTTCAAATTCCAGTCAAATCCGTTACATTCAGTTAAGTTGCTTTGGGAAAAGTATGAATCCTCTTTTTCTTCCCGCAGCTATGGGTAAATATCAGGACAGATCGGGTTTTATACACTTGTATGGCAACTGGTCTATTGCAGAAAGAAATAGCAACGAAAGAAGGAAAAAAAAAATCTGCCTCGTCAGTCATGTATAGAAAGATTGCCTACGCATGTATCACGCATGGCACAGAACTGACTGACTTAAAAGAAAACTATAAAAAAGTAAGAAATAGTCTACGTGGTGGATAATTAATACGATGACCGTCATGTACAAAAAACTTCTTTATGGTAAGCGATCCTTACCGACAAATTGCGAGTATAATATTATCGTTATCTGTCATTGTATTATTTGAGGCAAACCAATTTCTCGATAAAAAAAAAATTATTAATCAAAAAAGAAATACATAAAAGATCAAAATGCGATCGAACTGCTCATGTCATGGACGACAAAATGCGATCGAACTGCTCATGTCATGGACGACAAAATGCGATTGAACTGCTCATGTCATGGACGACAAAATGCGATCGAACTGCTCATGTCATGGACGACAACTGACAATGTGGTTGAATCGTTCCATTTTTTCAAGCAGCACTGCGAGCTATATTACTCTGTACAGGATATACCGGAGGAAAAACAGGTTGACCACATATTGTTACTCTCGGGTGAAGAAGGCCTTCGATGTTTTAATTCATGGAATTCGGGAGTGGGAAAATTTCCTAGAACAATTAGAGCCCCGAATAAACTTCAGGATCGTTCGTTTTTTTTTTTTTTTTTTTTTTTTTTTTTTGTTTGTTTGTTTGTTTGTTTTTTTACGTTCAGGGGGATTCTGAGAATATTGACGACTTTCTTGCAAGGTGCCGTTCACGGTCAAAGAAATGAAAATTTCGAGATGAAAAAGAAATGGAGGAGCGACTAATCGAACAGATTATTATTGGGACGAAACATCTTGAGCTAAAAAAAACAGATCCTCTCGAAAGACCAGATATTGTATGTGCAGGAAGCTCTGAACATATGCAGAATATACGAGGCTTCGATGCACTACATGAGCCAGCTAGCTGATACCATAAAGAAAAAGTTATTGAGCATAAAAGATACTGGCGCTGTCAAGCATACCCCAAGCGACACCAAACAAAGATGCCAAGCATGGGGTACAATATACTCAGTTTAAACATGACGCTTACCAACAGACTAGGGATCTACAAGCTAAAGGCAAAAGTTGACACCAGAGCTGAAGGAAACACACTTTTCACACTATTTTTCAGAAAATGTTCCCCGAAAAAGTAAGCCCAGATGGATTTCCACTTCTTCATTCCACACGTTAGGATATAGCCATACTTACTGCATACATACACAACCATATCTCAAAATAGGTCTTTGAGTATACAATGTGCCTACAACCATGAATGGAGAAATATGTAGTTACCTCGGAAGTCCCAGCCGTATTAGGACTTCTTTCTCTTGGAGATTTGAAGCTAGTAACCGTACAGTGTGTCATGAAATGCCCAATTAACTGCACAGAAGATATTATGAAAATGTATCCTGATCGTTTTGACAATGTTGGCGAATTTTCCAGACAATATTACATTGTATTGAAAACAGACAGTAACCCAGTTATCGATGCGCCCAGGAAATGTCTCATCCACCTAATGGATGAAATCAAAGCAGAACTAGAAGATATGGTGAACAAAGGAATTATTAAAAAGTTAGATGAGACTACTTACTCGGACAACAGTACGTGTGCGCGCAAAAGCAGTAAAGTCAGGATATGCCTATACCCAAAGAACTCGAAAAAAGCCAGCAAGTGATACCACTACAAGACACCTACATTGGAGGAGGTCTTCCCCAAACTAGCAAATGTTAAGTACTTCACAAAAATGAATGTCAAGAATGGTAACTCTGGCCCGTCAATTTGGATACCGACTCAAAACTACTAACCACATTCAATTTCTCTTAAACTTATACTACTTCAGGAGAATCCCATTCGGCTTAGTAATATCTCAGGATGTCCCCGACAAAAAATGAACATAATCCTGGAGTAATGCCCAAGCGCAATCGAACTAATAGTCAATGTGTTGGTTTATGGGCAAACCAAGAAGGAGCATGATAAAACCCTCCACAACTTCATGAAGGTTACCAGACACGTAGGTTTATATTTCAACAGCGTTCAGAGTACGATGAACTAGAACGAAATACATTTCTTTGAAGCTGTGTTTACTAAAAATGGGCTACAAAAAATAAAATCGCTACTCAGTCCTAAAAATATAGCGGAGCTTTAGAAGGTGCTGGGAATTATTACATACTTGGCACCATTTATCCCTCGTTTATGTGAACTCACGGTAACCCTGAATGAATTGCTAACGAAAGACTCAGAGTACAAATGGTCAAGTAGCAACCAAAAATCTCTGCTGCAATAAAGGATATAATCAGCATAGAAATGTTGATCCCTCACTTTGGTCCACTACAGACATCAGTGGTTCAGGTTGACGCTTCCAGCAAAGACCTTGGAGCTGCGCTCATAGTGTTTGCATCCAAATCTCTCACAAGAACGGATCAGCGCTATGCCAACATAAAACGGGAACTATTAGCAGCGGTTTTCGGATGGCAGAAATTCCGAACATATAAAACCACCCAGTTCTCTTTGAGAGTGATCGCAAGCCCCTGAAGATGATATCCCTAAAAAATCTCACTGCTGCACCTACCCGCCTTCAACGAATGCTGCTTTGCCTTCAAGAATACGATATGGTCATCACGTATCGGCCTGAGGAAATGACTCTCGTAGATGGCCTATCACGTTTCCCAAACAAAGACCTGGACATAAGGACCGACTTAGTGCAATTTACAACAGACAAATTGATACAGATACGCCAGGCAACAAGCACCGACCCAGTATTATGTAAATTGAGGGACATGATGGCCCAATTCGAGACGATAGGTTAGCCAAAATTTGCAGTCCTACAGGCCCTATCGTGTTGAACTCGCAATTAAAAATGGAATTCTCCTCAAGGGTGATCGAATAATAATTCCCTAAACTCTGCAGCCAGAAATTATACAGAAAGGTACACCATGATCATGAAGGGACGGACAAATGCAAATTTAGCGCTAAATGCTGCGTTTTCTGGCATGGCACCAACAACGATATTGCCAAAACTGTTCAGCAATGCAGCATTTGCCAAGAGTATAAAAAAAACGTGTCGAACCACATTTAAAGCATGGAATCCCAATAAGACCATGGCAAATTGTAGCTACTGATCTCTTCCAGTTTCGCGAACAGAACGACCTACTACTCCAAATACTCACTGGTACCGAGAGTAAAGGTTCTCCAGCAAGAAGTGCTCAATGTGACCAAACAAATATTTGGAGAACAGTGTGTACACGAAAGGGTTAACAGAAATAATGGGTCCCATTCCAGCTCGAGCCTGTTCCAAGTGTTCGCGAAAGAGTGGAATTTGAGCACCACACATCGTCCCGGAGGTGCCCACAAACAAATTGGATAACAGAGTAGTGGATATAATTTATGAAGTCTGCCATGAAGAAAGCATCACAGCGCAAGCGCAACGCCAACATGGTTTTTGTGATGCCTTAGAGATACACCGATAAATGACTTTGTTCCGTCAACAGGACATGCATGGAAACCACGATCGTATATAGTACAGACTCCCATTGGACAGGTCATCTGCCGTAACCGACGACAACTAAAGGAAGACCGTTTTCAGACCGAAAACAACACTGCAATTAGCCAACCGTCGATATCTACCATCTCTCCAACAGAGGTCATCTTCGATCAGCCCGGAAGCCAGTCAACACTAACTTACACACTCAGAGACCAGACACTCTGACCACAAGGTCAGGTCGAGTCATAACCCTCCATCATCAAATACAATTTATAACCATTACGCAAAACTCCAGACGAAAAGAGATGTACCATGATCTGGAATTGTCTCCCTTTTGAGAACTGCTCTCTAAAAATAAAGTGGCCAGTTCAAACATGGCTGGCTAGCACCATACATCTGTCTTCCTGTTCTATCAATCTCTTTACATATAGTTTCTATATTTATTACCTATTCTTCTTTAATGTACCGTGTCTCTTCATGGCTCTCCACAATTTCCTTCCATTTGTAGCTTTTAATTAATTTTTGTCTTTTTGTTATTTCTGCTAATTCCTGTTCTGCCAACCATTTATAAAAGGTCGTCGATACGTTATGCGATGCTTTCCTCTGTCATTCTTCAAGATGTCCTGTGAGCATCGAATTTTCTAAGCCCTCTTTCCTCATTCTGTGCCCTAGAAATTTCAATTTCTCTTTCTTATACTAAATAAAATTTTCTTTTTATTTCCATTTACTTCAATTTACTTTCGTTGCTCCCATGTTAGATCCATGGTAATCTCAGTATCAAGCCTCAAGTATCTTCTTCATCTGTGAGGAGACTGTCCAGCATTTACTGTCACACAGTAGAACTGATACTACATAACAGTTAAGTACTTTAGTCTTTGTTTCTAATGAAATTTTTTCTCTTTCTTAATACTTTGTTTAGCTTTTGGATGGCATCTTTGGCTATCTTAATGCGCCTTCACATTTCATTGTACCTTTCGTTTGTCTGTCCCCTAACCCTAGACATTTAAATTTCAGTGGATTTATCGTTAGACGATTTTCCTAATTTCAATCTTCATGATAATGCTTATAAGTTTCGAACTGCTAAGCAGTGTTGTGGCTATTTAATCTCTGAAGAAATTTACATGATGAACACTCGAAGCTTCATAATTGTCAGTGAGAGAACCCACCATAAATTACCTTTTCAAAAGCGAAACATGGATCAATTTCAGGCCTTACCCGACCTAATCCGTCCCATCAAATCCATTTGTGTTTCTTGTTAGGCTACGAAATTTTCAATTTATTTTTGCAGTATTAAATTATTGTCAGCTTCCCCGGGTTGAAAGCCAGGAATTGATTGTCTTATTTAATTGTCTTCCGAGAGAGTCATCTTAATTGCGGCCGTTCAGTAAGTGAATAAAATGAAACAACAAACTAAGCAAAAAAGAAAAAAAAAAAAAAATACACTGGACTTTTATACTATATATATATATATATATATATATATATATATATATATATATGTTCACTTACACGCAATGAAGGATTTTTTATGTGAGTAAAATTGAAAAAAAATGATTTCAATCAAGCGATGCTTTTATACATACAGAATATGGGCTGGAACAAAAGTACGTAGTATTTTCGGAGTGAATTTCAAAGACAATATTTTTGTATCGATACATAGATTTATTCGGCCATAATATGTGCTCATTTTGTGGAAATAGATTTTGCTCTCTTTGAGACAAGATAATGATTCAATTCGCCAGGATTGTAGCATCTTTCTGGCTGAGGAACTGCATTTAGAGGAAACCGGAAAATGTAAATTCTTCACATTTAGTGATTGGGGGTGGGTGGGGTCGAAACAAATGCTAACCCGAAAGTGTAAGGGCAGGTGAGCACGGCAAAAGTATTTGGTCATCCGAGCCAAGCTGCATCAATCTTTACTGTGTTAGTAGAGTGATTTGATACTTCAGAATCTATCTATCTATCTATCTTTTCATATCTATCTATCCATCTATCTATCTATCTTATGTTTATCTGTTCATATTTATCTATCCATCTCATATAATGTCTATTCATATCTA